ACACTTAGGGGCTGATGATAGCCGCGTACAGAACGGCTTGAAATAGACTATCTTCTATGTTCAGGTAATATTTGTTTTTTGTTTGTTTGTTTTTTTCTTTGCTGTAAAAAATACATATGCTCTCTTATAATAAATACATCGAGCTCTCTGTGGATCAGTTTTAATAACTAATATTACTAGGATCCACCCGTATTATATACCAACGGGTCGATTGCCTGTATATATATATATATATATATATATATATATATATATATATATATATATATATATATTATATATGTAGTGCCAATATGAGTAAAGGTTTCTGTAGCAGAACAAAAAGCTTTTGAACTTATGTTTCTTTCCTTATAAACAACGTGTTCAAATAATTGATATGGCAGCCCAATTTCACAACGAAATAAACAAATAGCAAGTCTAAACTCAAAGATCCAGGGGCAGAAATAAATGTCGAAAATTACAAATCGCAGGTCCAGTGTCACAAAACCCAATTAACGTAAACTGTAAGAAATCAACCGCACAAGCATATCCGAGATGCATTTATGGCCACAGCTGAGACTGACTTGTTTTTATTTATCTTCGCCATATCGTACACAACACACGGTCACTTTTCCTAGGTAAGTGAATTTCAACACAGTCTGTCACTTAGCTGACTGACGTTACCTTCAGCATCCTGACTCCAGAGTTTCGTAGGCGGATCTGTTCGTCCATTCTCAGTGGGTATCAGCAATTTACTGCTTATATTTTTCGACTTTTTTCCTTTTATGCATATGTAACACCGCCTTATGTTTTTTTTTTTCTGTAACCTCTGTGGGAACGTGCGGCCATGTGCCCATCTTTGTGGATGTGCATGCGTTTGCGTGCGCCTGTCTGCGCGGATGTGTGTACGTGTAGGGAATCGGGATCATTTTGCCCTTTTGTTCGTTGTTTTTGTTTTTTGATTTATTTTTCACTTTACATATCGTTCATTTAGTTTTATCTCTCCCCACAATCACCTTTTTTCTGGCTGTTACTAATTTTGTTTGGGTTTGTTCCGGCTCTGGACATGTGACCGATTTTGATTTTTTTCTACGGACATTTATTTTTTCTTTTGGTAGGGAAGTTGTACTTCGTTTTTTGCATATATAATTCATATTAATGCTTAAATGATAAATATTTTATACACACGCACGCGCGTACACATACGCGCGCGCGCACACACAAACACATATATAATATTAAAGATAGATATGCTTAAATGGTATATAATTATATATAGACATGCACATATATATAAATATACACACATATCTACACATATACATGCAGCACACATACACATATATTTATATATCTTCACTAGGCTATTAATTTGTTTTGTTTTTTAATTTGGTTTGGTCGTATCATAAGTATTAATTGTAAGAGGTTAGATTTATAATTAAAATTAATTATTCTTACAATTTGTGCGCATATATCTGTGTTTATACGTACACGGGCACATCTATTCACTCACGTATATAGGTATGCTTACATTTGTACACATAAACAGTTACATGTACACAGATGCCTCTGCTTTGTTACTAATAAACTAGTGTTTCAATGGTAAAGTTATTTATGTTAAATATTATTTTTACATACATATATAGAAAGATGTAGCACACTCTCATGCACACTCACGCACACTGCACACACACACACACACGCACGAACGCACACAAACACACACTTATATTTAACTGTTAAATAGCGTATATGTAATTAAAATAAGTGTATCCTGATATGTTATCGTTTATTTAGTGTTTTATTTTCAATTTTATTTAATGGTTACTAATTTATTTGTTTTTTTCTTGGTGTTATATATTGATTATGTGGGGTTGGTTTGTTGAATTTTAGTGTTTCTTTATGTGTGTGTGTGTGTGTGTGTGTGTGTGTGTGTGTGTATCCAAACGTATGTCAAATATTTGTTCGTTTATGTATTTATCAATAAATTAAGTTTATATTTATTTCTTTTATTTATTTAAAATTTGTATTATATTTTTTATTTCATTTATTAAAAGTTTTGTTGTTAATAAACTAGCGCTTAAACGGTGAAGATATTTTTTCTATTTTCAGCATAATAATTATGGTTGGTTGTGCTAACAGAATTTGATTTTGAATATTTATATATAGTATGTACTTCCACACACCCACGCACGTACCGCACGCACGCACACACAAATATGCATTTGTTAAATAGTGTATATGCAGTAAAGTAAGTACTTGCTTATATCATGTTATCGTTTATCTAATGTTTCATTTTTATATAGACTTACACACATCATACACACTCCCAAAGAATTAAAAGATAACATACACTTAACACACACATCATCCCCCTCCCAGCAACCAATTCTGCAACTCATGAATCTCCCCAGCCTCTTAAAAAAAAAAAAACAACAACTTGAAATAGTTCGTTTGACCAAGACAAGGAAAGACGAAAATTAACGGTAAAAAAAAAAAAATGAAAACTATAAAGTTCATTTTCTTCATAAACAGTCATTCACTCCTGAAATGCATTGCTACTAACAAACAGAATTTTTTTCCAATTTTTTTTTTCTCCTGATGATGGTCATGCTGGGTGAAACTTGTTGAGGAACTTAATTAAAATAATTAAACAAAAAATATTAATATACAACCCAGTGTGTGTGAAAATTTTAATTTTTTAATTAATTAATTCTTTAATATTTTTTATTGTTCAAAACACACGCACACACACAGAGTATATACACGTATATATATATATATATATATATATATATATATATTATAATAATTATTTTTAAAAATATGTATTCATCGCGACACAGAAATTACCATGTTTCGAAACCAAAATCTAAATCTTAAATTAAACTTAAAATTTGAAGTTTAGTTCCATTTTCAACTGATGCTGAATAACTTTCGAACAATTGATTTACTCTATTTATAAGCTAAATAACGTTATATAGTTTAAGTTGGTGGGGAAATGAGAATTCAATTTTTTTTTCTTTTTTTATTAAGCAGATGTATTCGTCTAAAGAAGCAACAGCCCCTTAATAAATAAATTTGAATTCTCATTCCGCCACTAACTTAAACTATATAATAGTATTATTTTTGTAACATCGGTATGATGAGACAAGTATTAAAAACTTACTCGCCGAAATAAATTATAATTTATAATCGTTTTCGATGATGCGTTAAGTTTTTTCTCTCTCTCTCTCTCTCTCTCTATATATATATATATATATATATATATATATATATATATATATATATATATATATATCAGGCACGTGCCGTCAGTAATTACTTAGGGTAGGCATCTTGTGACATTTATGTAGTAAATCTACAAAAATATTTTCATTTTATGCATAATAATCAGAGTAAACTTCAAAATTTTGTTGGATTAGGTGCATATTTTGCCACAGAAAGAAAATATAGCTGCTGATCTATTTTATTCAGGATAGGCACTGCCTACCTTGCCTACCCAGACGGCACGTCCCTGATATATATATATATATATATATATATATATGTGTGTGTGTGTGTGTGTGTGTGTGTGTGTGTGTGTGTGTGTGTGTGTGTGTGTGTGGATTTTGACATAAGTAGGCGAAAACGAAAAATACAGGACATGTTTTTATCGAATTACAACTTGCAGAAAGCGCATGCTCACGTCAGGTTTCATCTGCCATATTTACATTGAACTTGAGGTTATGTGATGGCTTTCAAACAGTTCATTTGCAGAAACTCTAAATAAATATGCAAGCATTATTATAGAAATCATGACTTCATGTTAAACAGTTTATTTAAAATTGAATGCATCCAAATTGAGCCGACGATTTACAGATCACATTTTAAAAAGATTTTAAGGAAATGTATTTAAACAGCCGAAACAAAAAACAACTGACAAGGTAGTGCGATTAAGCTTTTTATTCAATTTTTCTTGTGTTCATATAAGTGATTTCTTTTCTGGACATAAAGTGTGTAAAAAATTCCCAAATGTTCTATATATTCGAACGTTTTGGGCTATAGTTTTAGCTATTATCAAGGATGAATTTCATTTTTACTTTAACTGAATATATGGATTGTTTTATGTTTGTATCTAGAATTATAGAAATGTTTTATTTACAAACATGGTTTAGCACATTTTGGCCGTGTTTATAGTTGATATTAATGAGTGCTGACTTTTTGTTTTTTATTAATAACGCTTCCATTATTTTTAGCCTTTTTTACATGTGAATGAGGCTATTATGTTTCTATTATAAACGACTATGTTGCAGATTTGGTAGGTCTCCATATGTATTTAAATGAGACCTAATTGAGCTATAGTCAGAGAGATGTAATGTGAGTCTTCTTGTTAGGCATGTTGTAGTATATCCTATATAATTATTTACGAATTTCGATTGATCAGGAAGACAGTTCCTTTAGGAACATGTGATTTTTTTCTTATAGTAGATAATTAATTTAATTTTCTTGTTTTTGTCGACTGGTGTTGTTCATAATGTTTCTAAGTGAATATTCATCTTGCTTATAGTTACAATGCATTTAAATCTTCCCTTAGACACATAAAGAAATACACAACTCCAGTTGACAGAAAAAAATAACATTAAATTAACTGTCTACGATAAAAATATTTAAAACTGCTAACCACATCGTCAAAAATAATAACTCACAAGTTCCAAATTACAGATAAGTATTATTTGCGAATTCACATTCTATTTACTAATTATTTATTTTATTTTGTTCTCCTTCAGTAATAGGAGTAGGTAGGTTTGCTTATTGTCCGATTCACACTCCATCCCGGTCTTTCGCACAGGAGTAGAGGTTTATCCTTTCTTTCCTGTTTAGAATTGGGTTTCCGGTTCCTTCTAAAGTCTACTCCAACACTATACTCCTAACGCTTGTCCTTTCTTACGCTAATACAACTCTACACAGTAACCCTCTACCTTGAATGGCTCTTGAGTCTTGTATTGGGTAAACATCAGTGAAAAAAGAAAAACAAAGGCTTACGGCCATATCACGTTGAAACACTAGTTCCCGTACTATCAACGAAGTTAAGCAACGTCGAACCTGGTCAGTACCTAGATGGGTGACCACTTGGAATTTTTGGATGTGCGGTTAGTGTAATTGATAACGGCTGGAAATTTGAAGTCGAAGAGCCAAGTACCAATTCCAGTTGTGTTCGTTATATTCACTTACGCACTAATTCCTTTGGGAAAGCTATGAAGCCATCCTTCTCCCCCAGCTATGGGTTAATTAGTAGGACGTTTATCGGTAAATCAGTTATCTTAAAAATTATTGCGATGTAAAAATATATTCTGGCTTTAAATAACATGAAAAGGTTGATAAACCGTAAAAATTCAGTCAGTCAATAGTCTATATGTTGATGATACTACTCAAAATTCTCTGCAGTTAATTCAGTTATTTACATTATTTGTATTCTGACTATTGTCCTTATATTTGTTGTTGTTATCACAACGTTTCGACCGATAGCAACAACAAAGATGAGCTCATGCGTCCGAAGATAAATAATGTAAATAATGATAACTCCTCGTTGCAGAAATTCAGAAAGAAGTTCATTCTATGATAGGTGATTTAATTTACTCGGTTCAAAAATAACTAATAAGAAAAAAAATTTCGTTGCTTTATTAGCTCTGATTTGATCAGTTTTCCACGTGCATAGCTGAAAAAACGTTAGACAAAGATTTCGTATTAACAACCAATGATTTTCTAATCTCTCCTTACCATTTTTTTTTACAGAGTTTCAGTCTATTCTTGTGCCATCTTCAGATGAATGTGTATCGATCACAGGCTATTTTTTGTAGTTTCATTCTTCTGCGCTGATTCAATCATCAGACTTGTCTGTAAAAAAAAACAAAAAAAAAAAAAAAGGAATAAAGACAACCGAATTGGAGCGACGACAAAAAGTGGATTGAATTAATTAAAAAAAAAAAAAAAAAACTACTGGGATATTTTTCCTCGCTCAACGAATCACTAAATGAGATTACATAAACGGACAAGACTTGCTTTTATAAAATAAGCTGGATGGTAATTAAACGAGACATTCAACCCATTTTCATCACGTACACACATCGATCTAAAAGATCAAACATTATACTAGGCATCGTATTGGTTTGACTAGGGCTAGGAAAAGTGGTTATCAAGATGTATTTTGTTACAGACAAAATCAAGATGGTAGCAATGTTATTTTTTCGAATAAAAATGGAAAGAATGAATCCCCCAAGATCGTTAAGTTTTTATTATTATTATTATTATTATTATTATTATTATTCCTTTGATTTCTGGTGTGTACACATTTCTTTCCGGGTCCCGCCCAGAGACTTAAGGTCAGAAATGGCATCATGACATTTTCCACTGAGCAATTTAAAAAAAAAAGCACACATATTTTACATACATAAAGCTCTTTGTAAAGTGTGGGCTGTACTCGTGAGAACAATTTCTTTGTATTTCATTAAGGCATGGGCTTCCAGGAATCCCTTCAATGAGTCTATTGGAATCTTTTCCAATCAATCCGAGGGTTCCAACTACAACTGGAATTGTTGATACCCTCATGTGTCACATTTTTGAGATTTCGATTTGAAGGTCCTTGTATTTTGATAGTTTTTTGAAGATCTGTTTGGGTGATTAGCTCTAGTCGTTTTACCTGCGTTTTGTTAAGTCCCATAAAATTGTTACAGGTCCTATCTCCATAACCGGGTCTAGGTGATGTTCATACCAATTTATTGTAGTTTCCTTTATTATTATTATTATTGTTGTTGTCGTTGTTTGTGTGTTAGGTTTCCTGCTTTGTATCCTGTAGAGCCTGGTCCAAACTATGGTCCTTAGGCCCCACACGAGAATTGTCATTTAATTGATTGCACTTGTCTTATTATATGTGATTTTCTTAGAAGGGCGATCGTCTGGACAACTTGTATGTTGATGCTACCTGGAACACCATCAGTAAAATTATCCATTCCTTTTCTCACGAGACCCAAAGCTCCGATTACCATTAGTACAGTCTTTATTATTATTATTATTATTATTATTAATATTATTATTATTATTATTATTTCCTTTGATATTTGATGTATACATATTTCTTTCCGGGTCACAACCAGAGATTTAAGGTAAAAATGGCATCATTTTCTACAGAGCAGATTTTTTTAAAAAATCACCTAAGATAGATCATATACTTTTTATATAGATTAAACCCTTTGTAAGGTATGAGCTGTATTATTATTATTATTATTATTATTATTATTATTATTATTATTATTTTGCGTTTTATCCTTATTTCCAAGGTGTGATTTTGTTCAAGATATCATATCCAGGATGACTGTCGACCAAAACTAAAGAGCTCATTCTGCCCATAAGACACGGCTATTCTCCGCCTAATAATAATAATAATAATAATAATAATAATTATTATTATTATTATTATTATTATTTAAAAAGAATTCTTTTTTACCTGCATTAGTTTTATAATCATATAACGGGTCATAACTAACGACAAAGTATGTGATTTGCGTTGCTTCTACTTAATTAAACAAAAGACAGTTACTATCAAAAAACTTAAATGGACAAAGCTCTTCGCGGGATATTATGGAGACATGGTGCACCAAATATTTTGCTGATTGGTTCTTGATTTCTTTTCTTTATCAGTCCCAAAGCTCCAACAACAACAGAAACAGTTTTAGCTTTTAAGTGCCACATTTCCTTTCTATTTCCATCTCTAGATCTTTGTATTTGCTCATTTTTTCAAAAGAATTTGCAGAGATGATTTTGTAACTTGGTACGCAAACATCAATCAGTGTGCAAATTATTATTATTATTATTATTATTATTATTATTATTATCTCCTTCCCTTTCTTCCTATTTTCTTTCAGGCTCTCATCATCAACACTCCGTGCCAATAGCTCATCAGAAGAAAAAATACTGAATCGTGACGGCGGATGAAGTTTGTTTGCTGACCTTTTAATGTGGTCACCTCACCAACTAAATCGATTTTTTCAAGTCACGTAAATAGCATTTACTTCATAGTATTTTTTTTTAAATTCTTCATTTGCCGTTTTTTTTTTTTTTTTTTTGTTATTTTGGCTTTAATAATGATGAGAACATGATGACAGCAAGTTATTTTCGATTATTCTTGACATTTTCTTTTTCTTTTTTCTCCCTCTCTCCGAACGCAATCTCGCGTCCAGATCTCTGTTAAATGAATGCACCGATGACATCATCTTCAATAAACAATTCGTCGTATGATCACAATTTCGCAATAAAAGGCATAGCAATGCCTTCTAAAATATATCTGCCTTTTGCACGCATTCCTATACAATCACGTTTTTACACTAACACTATATATATATAACAATACACACACACGCACAATATATATATATATATATATATATATATATATATATATATATATATATATATATATATATATACCGAAGCCCCACGCAGCAAGATGTGGCACATATATATGTATGCACGGGGTGTAACTGCAAAATTGTCCAAATCATTTAAAAACAAAATTATCCATTTGTTAGCTTAAGCTTAGAATCTTAGAAATGATTTTTATGATTAAAGATATCTTACTGGAATTCTCCGAGATTTTTATAACACTATTAGACTCTACCTTGAATAATAAGAATGTATAATTAATCTCTAAACTTAAAAGAAGAAACGTGATGAAATGTGATGAAATCGATCATAAATGAAAATGACATGTTCATCATTGATTAATCATAGCTAAGGATTGGAAGCTCATGAAGGATTGAAATTAATTTCAGATATATATATATATATTATTCCAGGATCGTTTCATTCTCTGAGCGACGTTATCAAGGAAATGTAGGATTTATTTTGTTGCGCGTGTTTATATACAAAAGTGGGGATGTCATTTGGTTCATCAAGGCTTTTAAAACTGAGGACGTTCATGAACGTTGATCAGGTGGTTGAAAGGTCAGTCAACGTAAGTAAGCGAGTAATATTCAAGAAAATTTGTTTTGCCTATAGTGTCTTGATAAAGTCCACCAGAGGACGAAATGTGTTGGCTAAGTGTGGGGACCTACCTACAAATGGACTCTTCCACACCTTTATAATATGGCTACCAACTCTGAGTGAAGGGAGTCACTAAGTGAAGGTCACCGAGTAGTAGACACCGAGTGAGTGAGTGAATGAGTGAGTGAGTGAGTGAGTGAGTGAGTGAGTGAGTGAGTCAGGACACCAGTGAGAGAAAGTACTCTCCAGTACACATTTACCTTTGTACTACGTTTCCGAGAATATACTATTTAACCTTATATCCGAGTCCGTCTTATCTTTCTATGGTTCTACATCATAAAACTAAGAATAATTTATCCTCTTGTCTCTTTATATTCATTTTGTTCCTTTACTGATACACTCTATCTCAGAATAATTTATACACACACATGCACACACACACATAACATATATATATATATATATATATATATATATATATATATATATATATATATATAAAAAGAAAGAAACAACAGTAAGATATATAATCCGGTGTTCTTATAGGTATTTTTAATTTTACAAAATAGTGCTCAGTGTAAATTTACAGAGCATTAATATTATAATTAACTGATTTAAAATATGTTTTTTTTTTTACAGTTCTAACCATGTTTCAAAAATGGAAGCTAAAAGTTGAATTTAATTTTGTAATTAAATTAAAGACATTAGTTCCATTTTAAAAATAAGTCCAAAATTCGCTTGAGTATGAAATGGAACTAATGTCTTTAATTTAATTACAAAATTAAATTCGAAGCTTTCAGCTTCCATTTTTAAAACATGGTTAGAACTGTGTAGTGAAAAAACATATTTTAAATCAATTAATTTATTATACACACACACACACACACATATATATATATATATATTATTTGGACTTTGCTAACCAGACCCTTCCTCTGTATCGAAAAGGTATAGCGCTTCAGGTCAAATGACGGTGCCGTGTAGGATACAGGTTCGATTCTTGTCGGAGGACGTTTATTTTATCCGAAAATTATAATAAACAGTATTATTTATATTTACTGACCTGAATGTCCGTGAAATTTCGTAGAATATGTGTGTCCTCCGACAG